GAGGTCCCCTGGAAAACTACTTTTAAAGACATTGGGGTCCATTAGTGCTGGTTGGTTTTTAAGTACCACCTCCTAGGAGTACAGGAATAGGCAATTCCAAAATGTCGGAAGTCAAGCAGTAGGGGCAGATGGCCAGCCTGGCTGAGCAGGGATCTTCTTCAAGAGCTTAGGCAGAAAAAGAAAGTGTATGGTCACTGGAAGCAAGGTCAGGTGACATGAGAGGGCTATAGGGATGCTGCTCACCTTTGTAGGGAGAAAATTTGTGCGGCCAAGGCTCAGAGTTGAAGTTGGCCAGCAATGTAGGGGACAATAAGAAAAGCTTTTTAAAGAAAGTTAATGGGAAAAGGAGGACCAGAGGAAACATTGGTCTGATACTTGATGAGGATGGTCACCTAACAAACAGGGACATAGACAAAGCAGAGATGTTTAATGCATTTTTCATGTAATGCTCAGGAATCTTGGAAGAGATCATAGACTGGCCAGAAGACAGAGATTTTGGAGTATCAACATTTTGGAGTGAGAGAGCAGTTGTGGTGGAGTTTAGATGCCCAGTAGGGTAAAACAACTACAAAAGGAAAGGATGAATATTGCTGGTCTATGGAAACGGACAGTTGAACATTGAATTTGTTGTATGAAAAAACAAATATAACTCATAGGCATGGGAGGGGTACAGAGATATTGTTCACCACTGAAGGAAGAAAATTTGTGCTGCCAAAGCTCAATTAGAGTTGAAGCCATCCTATACTGCGGGGAACAATAAAAAGGGCTTTTAAAAGTATTTTAACAGCAAAAGGAGGACCAGAGAAAACATTGGTCTGTTATTTGATGAGGATGGTCACATCGCAAATATGGATGAAGACAAAGCTGAGACGTTTAATGCCTTCTTCGCCTCTGTTTTCAACACTGATCATGGGCTCTGGGACCCCAGCGGCCCCAATTTGGAGGACCGTGACTGCGGGAACAATAAACTCCCAGTCAACCCCAAACTAGTGCGGGATTTGCTGCTCCACCTGGATGCATACAAGTCTATGGAGCCTGATGGGATTCATCACAGGGTACTCAGCTGGCTGATGTCATTGCAAGACCTCTCTCAAATATTTTTCCGTGGTCTTGGGACTCTCAAGAGGTCACAGCCAACTGGAAGATGACAAATGTTGTCCCAGTTTTCAAGAAGGGCAAGAAAGAAGACCCTGGTAATTACAGGCCTGTCAGTCTCACTTCAGTGCCTGGTAAAATGACAAAGATTAGCCTGTTGAGTTACTGAAAAACACTTGAAGGACAACGCAGTCACTGGTAACAGCCAACGTGGGTTCATGAGGGGAAGACCATGTTTAACAAACGTGTTTTTTTTTTTACGACAAGATCACCCATCTAGTTGACCAAGGGAAGACAGTTGATGTAATGTTTTTGGATTTCAGTAAAGCTTTGGATACTGTCTCACAGTATCCTTCTGGACAAAATGACCAGAATACAGTTAGATAAAAGCATAATAAGATGGATGAACAGGTCGGCTGACAGGTCGGACCCAAAGGGTTCTTGTAAATGGAGTTACATCAGGCTGGTGGCCAGTCACTTAGTGGGGTTCCGCAGGGCTCCGTTTTAGGGCCAGTTCTCCTTAATGTTTTCATAAATGATTTGGATGTAGGACTTGAAGATTTTTTGAGCAAGTGGTTAGTCATTGGAATGGGTTGCACAGCGAACTGTTAGAGTCACCATCCCTGGGGGTATTTAAGAAAAGGTTGGATGTGGTACTTGGGAAGGGGTAATCCTGGATATATGTACAGACTGGGAAACTGTGGGACGAGAGGCTTAAAAGCCTTGTGGGAAGGGATCTGGGGTCTTTGGTCGACAGCAAGCTGAACATGAGCCAGCAGTGTGCCTTGGCAGCCAAAGGGCTAACTGTATCCTGGTATGCATCAAGCACAGTATTGTTAGCTGGACGAAGGAAGTGATTGTCCTGCTGTACCCTGAGCTGGTGCAGCCTCACCACGAGTATTCTGACCAGTTTTGGGCACCACAGTATAAGGAAAATATAAAAATGTGTCCAAAGGAGGGATACAAAAATGGTGAAGAGTCTGGATGGGAAGACGCATGAGAAGCGGCTGAAGTCACTTGGTTTGTTCAGCCTGGAGAAGAGAAGACTGAGGGGAGACCTCATTGCAGTCTACAGCTTCTTCACAAGGGAGAGTGGAGGGTTAGGCACTGATCTCTTCTCTGTGGTGAGCAGTGATAGGACCCGAGGAAACATCTTGAAGCTGCATCAAGGGAGGTTCAGGCTGCATATCAGGAAAAGGTTCTTCACCGAGAGGGTGGTCAAGCACTGTAAGAGGCTCCCCAGAGAAGTGGTCATGGCACCGAGCCTGCTAGAGTTCAAGAAGCATTTGGATAACACTCTCAAACACGCACGCCTGGAGGGCTATGATCTTATTAGCATCACAGAGATATGGTGGCATGGTTCTCACGACTGGAGTGTTGTAATGGAAGGATACAGGCTCTTCAGGAAGGACAGACAGGGGAGACAAGGAGGGGATGTCACCTTCTATGTCAATGACCAGCTGGAGTGAAAGGAGCTCTGCCTGGGGGTAGATGAGGAGCTGACAGAGTTTATGGGTTAGGATTAAAGGGAGGGGAGAGGGCAGGGACAGGTGACATAATATGGGGGGTGGGGTGGGGGTGGGGGTTGGTTCTGCTACAGGCCACCTGACCAGGAAGACCAAGCAGATGAGGCTCTCTACAGACAGATAGATGCAGCCTCACGTTCACAAGCCCTGGTCCTCAGGGGGGACTTCAACCACCCTGATATCCGTGATATCCATGGGAATGCACAGCACAGCAGGGCATAGGCAATCCAGGAGGCTCCTGGAATGCACTGATGATAATTTCCTTCTCCAAGTAAGAAAGGAGCCAATGAGGAGCAGAGCTATGCTAGACCTGGTTCTCACCAACAAGGAGGGGCTGGTGGGGAATGTGAAGCTCAAGGGTAGCCTTGGATGTAGTGACCGTGAAATGGTGGAGTTCAAGATCCTTATGGCAGCAAGGAGAGCACGCAGCAAGCTCACTACCACAGACTTCAGGAGAGCAGACTTTGTCCTCTTTAGGGATCTGCTTGGTAGAGTGCCCTGGAATAAAGCCCTGGAGGGAAGAGGAGCCCAAGAAAGCTGGCTGATATTCAAGGATCACCTCCTCCAAGCTCAGGAGCAATGCATCCCACCAAAGAGGGAGTTGGGCAAAAATGCCAGGAGGCCTGCATGGATGAACAAGGAGCTCCTGGCCAACCTCGAACACAAAAAAGAAGCTTACAGAGGGTGGAAGCAAATGTGGGTAACATGGGAGGAATACAGAGACATTGTCCGAGCAGCCAGGGATCAAGTTAGGAAAACTAATTTCCATAGGATGTGATGAGGTGAATCTGAGAGTCCTGAAGGCACTGTCTCATTAAGTTGCTAAGCCTGGACCAGGGGACAATCACAGGAAATACAGTCTGGTGACCAGCGGTAGGACCCGAGGGAATGGCATAAAGCTGCATCAGGGGAGGTTCAGGCTGGATATTAGGAAAAGGTTCTTCACCGAGAGGGTGTTTGGGCAATGGAAGAGGCTCCCCAGGGAAGTAATCACGGCACCAAGCCTGCTGGAGTTCAAGAAGCGTTTGGATAACACTCTCAAACACATAGTCTAATTTTTTGGGTGGTCCTTTGGGGACCCAGGAGTTGGACTTGATGATCCTTGTGGATCCCTTCCAACTTAGGATATTCTATGATTCTAAGATGCATATTCTGATTTAAGCTCTTTCTCATGGCTGGGGCACTTGAAATGTCTTCACATAGATGGGTTTTTCTGGTGTTTAAGGAGGCTGATCTTATGGAAGTGGGAGCCCTTCCTGAGGAATTGCCCATTTCATGGTCATGTGGACTTGATGGACTTTGGACTTGATGGTCTTGAAGGTCTTTTCCAACCTAGACTAGTCTATGTGGTTTAATGAAACTTTACACCAGAAGTCTTTGACTTCTTTGTTCTTTCAAGTTAAATTGCAGTTTATGAAGGAATTCAAAAGTGAGTGGGGGATGAGCAAATATATTTTTCATAGATTCATAGGATAATTCAGGTCTGAAGGGATCTCAGGAGTTTTCTAATCCAACCTCTTACTCAAAGCAGGGTCAACTATGATATCAGACCGTATGAGTTGACCAGACTGGATAATTGTATTCACACCAGCTTCATTTTAAGGAAACCATGATAAACAGGAATCAGTACTGGGTCTAGTCCTGTTTAACATCTTCATTAATGATCTGGATGATGGGGCAGAGTGTACCATCAACAAGTTTGCTGATGATACAAAAATGGGAGGAGTGGCTGATATGCCAGAGAGTAGTGCTGCCCTCTAGAAGGACCTTGACAGGCTGGAGAAATGGGCTTACAGGAACCTCATGATTTTCAACAAGGGGAAGTGCAAGGTCCTGCATCTGGGGAGGAACTATGTTAGCATGCACCTCGTAGGAATGGAGTGCATGTGCTGAACTAGAGCTCTAGATGGCATCTATGTACTGGCAAATATGGATCCCACAGATTTGAAGTCTGCGCTTATCTTCTCCAAAAAGGTCTTTTCATCACTTATGTGTTTATATCCTATATCTGTTGGGGGAGGGAAGGGTGCCTGTGCTGGATATTATAACAAAATGTGACATACCTCCTTCTTCTGAAGTAAATGTTTACTCCTTTATCTGATATATCTTATGTTGTTATCTTAGCATTAGTATTTAAAATACCTTGATGCTGCTAAAATATGCTTTAGTAAAAATGCTCATGCGGACAAATAAGTGTTTACATTATGAAGGCAGTAGATTTTATAACTATTTATATTTTTTTAATTTTATGGTGTTTTGATCTAGTTTGTTAAGTGTGTTTCTCTAATGCTAGGTGAAGAAAATAATATTGGAGTTTCAGTATGGGAAACAAATCACTCAGCTGAGGGTTTTTCTTTTTTCTTTTTTATATTGCCACAGAGTGAAGATAGGTCGAGTCCCAAGAGACAACGTCTTTCTCATTCAGTCTTTGACTATACAGTGTCATCACCAACTGCATCACCACCAATACGACCGTGGGAGATGACATCAAATAGGCAGCCTCCTTTGTCTCGGTCCAACCAACATCACTTCTCTGGGGAACACTGCAGCACACCTGCACGAAATAGAAGGAGGTAGGCAAGCTATATAGATTAGGGACCAGTTTCTAGGGACTCTCTATTGTCAAGTCAGGGGAAGACTATTTCAGGCAACACTGAATAATATTTGTCATATGTTAAACAGAAAAAATGAATGAATCATAGACTAATAGAATGGTTTGAGTTGGAAGGGACCTTAAAGATCATCTAGTTCCAACCCCCCTGCCATGGGCAGGGACACCTTCCATGAGATCAGGTTGCCCAAAGCCCCATCCAACCACGCCTTGAACACTTCCAGGGAGAGGACATCCACAACTTCTCTGGGCAACCTTTTCCAGTGCCTCACCACCCTCACAGTAAAGATTTTCTTTCTTATATTCAACCTAAACTTACCCTCTTTTAATTTAAAGCTGTTACCCCTTGTTGTGTTGCTACATTCCTTGATAAAGAGTCTCTCCCCATCTTTCCTGTAGGCCCCCTTTAGGTGCTCAAAGGCCACTATGTCTCCCTAGATCCTTCTCTTCTCTAGGCTAAACAACCCCAGCTTTCTCAGCCTTTCTTAATAGGAGAGGTGCTCCAGACCTCTGATCATCTTCATGGCTTTCCTCTGGACCCACTCTAATAGGTCCATGTCTTTCTTATGCTGTGGGCCCCAGAAATGAACACAGTACTCCAGATGGGGTCTCATGAGAGCAGAGTAGAGGGGAAGAATCACCTCCCTGGTGGCCACACTTCTTTTGATGCAGACAAGGATACAGTTGATTTTCTGGACTTTATTTGCACATTGTCAGCTCATGTTGAGTTTTTCATCCACCATTACCCCAAAGTCCTTCTCTGCAGGACTACTCTATTCACTCATCACCCAGGCTATATTCGTGTTTGGGTTTGCCCTGACACAGGTACAGGACCTTGAACTTGCCCTTGTTGAACCTCATGTTGTTTGCATGGGCCCACCTCTTGAGCCTGTCAGGGTCCCTCTGGATGGCATCCCTTCCCTTCAGCATGTCATCTGCACCACACAGCTTGCTGTTGTCGGCAAACTTGCTGAGGGTGCACTCGATCCCACTATGTCACCAACAAAGATGTTAAATAGCACTGGTCTCAATACTGACCCCTGAGGAACACCACACATTACTGATCTCCACCTGGACATTGAACCGTTGACCGCAGCACTTTGAGTGAGACCCAAAGAAACAGTACGGCTGCTGGAAGGAGGGTCAGGCGACGAGGAAGGAATATAGGGATGCTGTTCATGTTTGTAGGGAGAAAATTCGTGGCGCCAAAGCCCAACTAGAGTTGAAGCTGGCTATGTCTGTGGGAGACAATAAAAAAGGTTTTTTTAGATATGTTAACAGAAAAAGGAGGACCAAAGAAAACATAGGGCCACTACTTGACGGGGAAGGTCTCCTCACAGACAGTGACATAGGAAAAGCAGAGACATTTAATGCCTTCTTCACCTCTGTCTTCAGTGCTGATGATGGGCTTCGGGACCCAGGGTGCCCTGAGCTGGAGAACCATGACGGTGGGAAAGACAAACTCCCAACCGACATTGAACGTGTACGGGATTTACTGCTCCACCTGGATCCATACAAGTCCATGGGTCCGGATGGGATCCATCCCAGGGTGCTTAAAGAGCTGGCTGATGTCATCGCGGGACGTCTCTCAATTATTTTTCAACGATCTTGGGAACCTGGAGAGGACCATGAAGAAGGACTTGTGGGTGATAAGAAGGTTGGAGGCCATCTTGGGCACAGTGATCACAAACTAATAGATTTTTCAATACTTGGAAAAGTGGGGGCGGGGGGTGGGAAGGTAGCAGAACTGCCACCCTGGACTTATATCTGTTGCACAGAGGCACTTCAGTGGCAAAGGGGAGCTCCTCCTCCAGCTCCGATCAGAGACAAGGATACACTCTCTCTTGTCCTGTGAGTCTTTCAAATGTGCTCATTCAGGGCTGCAAGCTTGTTTACCTACCCATTGCCTGGACTTAAGGCAGGGCTGTTGTTGAGGGATTTTTGAAACAGAAAGGAGGCCATGACTTGCTGCAGCTGAGCAAACCAAGCTGCCAGATCGACTATGAGAAGTTCCCATGACAGTGTTCCCACATCGCCCGACTGAGGAATTTAAAAAATATTGTTGCCATCAGCTGGCTTCAAGGACAGGATCTACGTGACTGCTAATCACAAGGGGGTTGTTTTCTTGCAGGTGGGGTTGTTTTCTTGCAGTTGTTTGTCTGAGTGCTTTTGACCAATAATCTTGTGTGAGACGCTCTCCGCCCCTGTTAAGTTTGCTATAAAAGTCAGGCTATTCGGGTAATAAAGGGAGAGCATGATCTGACCATACTGGTGTCTGTCGTGTTTTTGGCCGTTCTTCCTGCAATAGGCTGTTGCTTGGACCGTGTCAATGTATAATACCATTTGTCAATCTTCTGCTCAGATTCCTGAATGCTTTGTTGTCTGGTGAGCTCCTCTTGCAACAGAGCCACCTGTTTGAAAAGCTCATCCAGCTGGGCACACCTGTACCCATGACACCCACCTCTGCCTTCAGGACCTAGGGGGACTTCCAGAGACTGGAGTTCCCTGGAACTGAGGGTCCTAGAAACTACAGGCCGGTCAGTATGTCCAATGATCGAGTTAGGAAAGGTAATGCCCAAATAAATCTGAATTTCACCAGGGACATCAAGGGCAACAAGAAGGGCTTCTATAGGTATATGTTTTATAAAAGGAAGACCATGGAAATTGTGGGCCCTCTCCAGAAGGAAATGGTTGACCTAGTGTCGCGTTAAGGGGTGTAGCTGATTAACCGTTACGGGTCCGGTCGGATTCAGGGTACTGAACCAGTCGGACATTCACCAATAACACATTAACCGTCTGGGGGTCCAGTCAGACATTCACCAATAACACGTTAACCGTCTGGGGGTCCGGTCAGACATTCACCAATAACATGTTAACCATCTGGGGGTCCGGTCGGACATTCACCAATAACGCGTTAACCGTCTGGGGGTCTGATTGGATTCAGAACACTGAATTATCACAGTCACGGATAACTACCCTTACCCTAGTTGCACTTAATGAGAGCTATCACAATGCAATCAAGTATGGTTTATTACAGCAACAGATAATCAGGTTCTTTTGGATTGCCAGCGATAGTGACTGTCTGCAAAAGCAAGCTAGCATGCATGAAATACAGGTGTTACAGGTGTTACAGGTGCACAGCCTAGAAATAAATGCGTTAAAAGGATCAAAGACTCTATAGAGATTTATAAGCAAGTATTCAGATCTCACCCAAAGGCGTCCCAATGGGGGGGGAAGAGAGGCTCAGCCCGTCGACAGATCCCAGGAGTCAGGAGGTCCTAAGGATGTTGTATTCCCTCGGGATGGTATCTCCCCTGACGGTGGTATCTTCCCTAACATCCCCTCTCTCTTAGGCCAATTTATATTATTTTCTATCTTTTAGGTGGAGCTTGAGTGACTCTAGTCAAGCATATCTTAGTTATGATTGGTGAAAAGTTCTTCTGTCTCCGTTTAAAGTAATAGGTTCTGAGAAATTCAGGGCGTATGCTCAGTGAGGGGTGGTCGCACTTTGGAGGCGGGTAGCTTTTGGGATGGAGGTGTGTTTTGGTATTATAATGATATTATAATGAGCAAAAAGGACACTAGGGTACAGCATTTGTCAAAACATGACAGGTCATTGGGTCAGGGTAGCAAAAAGTGCAGCTTATCGGTCTTAGTGTGCACAAGAACAATCGAGTCCCCACCTAGTCACAGAGCCTAGCCGTGGTGTCTCCACTCCACTCTACGCTCTGTACTGTTCCTTAGGGCTAGCACACCAAGTTTCCCCAGCGCGATAGCATCTAAGGTTGGGAGCCCAGGGAACGCTCAGGTAATGCAGCTATGCCCTACCCTGAAAGCCTCTTCAATGCTGTACATTTTCCTTAAAAATGCGAATGTTAGTTTTGTTTCCCTAGTTACTTTAGGCAATTACAGCACACCTAGTTACGCGGGATATGGAGATGGCCAAGGTACTCAATGACTTTTTCACCTCACTCTTCACTGGCAAGTGCTCTAGCTACACCGTCCAAGTCCCAGAAGGTAAAGGCAGGAACTGAGAGAATGAAGAAACTCCCAGTGTAAGAGAGGATCAGGTTCAGAATCATCAAGGAACCTGAGAGGATCAGGTTCAGAACCATCTAAGGAACCTGAAGGTGCACAAGTCCATAGGACCTAAAGAGATGAATCTGAGAGTCCTGAGGGAGTTGTCTCATGAAGTTGCTAAGACACTATCCACCACATCAGGTGCCCCTGGAACAGGGACACCCCACCCCTCACAGTTTTAAAAGGGAAAAAAGATGCAAGGAACTACAGGCCAGTCTGTCTCATCTCTCTGCCTGGAAAGATCATGGAGCAGATCCTCCTGGAAACTATGCACATGGAAAAAAAGCTGGTGATTGGTGAAAGACAACATGGTTTCACTAAAGGCAAAATGTGCCTGACAAATCTGGTGGCCTTCTACAATGAGATTACAGCATTGGTAGATGGGGAAGAGCAATTGATGTCATCTATCTGGCCTTGTGCATATCATTTGATACTGTTCTACATGATTTAAACAGCACTTCTTCCAAGCTCATGATCAGTGCATCCCAAAGAGTAGGAAATAAGGGAAGGGGTGGCTGGAGACCTGTGTGGATGAGCAAGGAGCTCATCAACAAGATCAAAAGGAAGAGGAAGGTCTATGAAATGTGGAAAAAGGGGCCTGTCCTCTTGGGAGGAATATAGGTGTTAGAGGACGCACGGACGAAAGCACGACAGACACCAGTAGAGTCAGATCATGCTCCATTTTATTGCCCGAATAGCCTAACATTTATAGTGAACTTAACAGGGGCGGACAGTGTTTCACACAAGATTATTGGTCAAAAGCACTCAGACAAACAACTGCAAGAAAACAACCCCACCTGCAAGAAAACAACCCCCTTGTGATTAGCAGTCACATAGACCTTGTCCTTGAAGCCAGCTACTGGTTACAATATTTTTCTGAAT